TCTTAACACTTCCTTATTCTTTGGTTCCCTATACACCTGCTTGGGTTGTGATATTCCCCTTGTTACTTCATTTTGTATGTCCTACATTGGATTCAGGTTGACTTTCTTTTCGCGCCAATCAAATTCCTCCTTCCTCTCAGCTTTTGCTATTGGCTCCCAAGTCCTATTTTTCCGATAACGTGAGACAATACCACTTAAGCAAAACAGGTTACCAAGGTATTGAAAGTGCCTTTTAAGACTTTTTTCCCCCTATTAGCATGGTTCCCACATTATGCTAACCACTGTAATAAAGGTTGAACAGGTGGAATATATAAGTAGCAAAAAGAGTAATTTAAAAAAGTAGAACTTATAAAAATACGGGGTGTCCCAAAAAATGTATACACGTTTTACATAATTGTAAAATGTAAAAATATTTACCAGTAACATTTTATTCCTTTTTTCACTAAATTTTCTCAAACTGACGTCCATTTTGATCACAGCACTGCTGACAACGCGAAGCAATGAAAACGTACATACTATGAAACAATTCCCTTCGTGTTCGGGTGCACTCATGTTCAATGGCTTCTCTCAATTAAGTCACTGTTTCTATACTCAAAATGCAGTAAAAAACAATATAATGACATAAAATGAATAAAATGACACTTGTTTATTATAATAAAATTATAATAAACAACAAGTTTAAAATGCTCGAAAATGTGTATGCATCTTTTGGGACACCCTGTATAAAATAATAGGAATAATTATTTAACCAACCAGATAACCCAAGATTTGCGCGCGATAATTAAAATGGCCCAATAGCGCCCAACTAAACAAAACCGTCGATTCTACATCACCTCTATATAATCTCTTTATCCTAGCTATAGAGATGATATAGAGATTACGTAAGAGTGATATAGAGTCGATGATTTTGTCCAATTGGGCCCAATTGAGCAATTTTAATTATGGTGCCCAAATAAGCGATTATTTGACCAAGCTGTTCTGTGACCCAAAGTGAACTGTTACCATACATGTAAACTTTAAGTGCAGAGGAGCTCGTTCTCAATTCTGCATTAAAATAAACACAAGGCACGACATTAGAGATTTGAGGATCCTTTGGAATGAACAAAGGAGCTTTAAAAACATACGTTAAGGAAGTTTTGAATGTGTTCTGGCGATTAACCTGTTACATTTCTTTTTCCTTACACAGAGAACCGTGTGCTGGATATTCATTTTGCTCTGAACGCGCTCCAAGAGGAGTCCACACTGAACCTCGAGGAATGGGAGAAGTTGGACGGCCAAAAACGCTCACTGGAAAAGTTGTTGCAGAAAACCGTTTTTCAGGAGGAGACCGCACAAGAGTGTCTCTATTTCCGGGATAAACGACAGGAAATTGACCTGGTCCACGACGCTCCAGAGAGGGCGCTCCTAGCGGTAAGAGGGAATAAATCCTCCCCGGATAGGACAAGATGTCTTTTGTCAAGTTTGCATAATATGAGTGAAACGCATTTTCAACTTGGATTCTTGTGTCAAAGAATGGCTCGACTTCGCTGTAAAAAGCACCCTAGATTACCACCTTAATCTTAGTGCTTTTGGTTCTGAAATCCGGACGAGTTTGCCTCTACTAGTAACTGTTTACTATTAGTGGAGAAACGTCGGGACGAAGAAATAATGACAATAATTTCTTTATAAGGAAATTATAAGCAGAAGGACATTACCAGCAAAGACAGGGGACACTAGGAAGGGCTTTTCTGCCTCATTAGGCGTCATCGGCTAGTGATACCCAACCCCAGTGTGGTCGCTGAAATTGC